CACATATTATAATTTTTTGAAATCATGAAATTTCTTACAGAACTAATTATGAAGATATAGTTTCCTTAAATACATGTATATCTTTACAACCAACTGAACCTAATAACGAACCATGTATGTTAGATATAAAGTTAACTAATGGTCAGAAAATCTCCCGGATTGCATTAGTTTCTGAAGCTTATCTATTAGAATTTTTCAAAGAATTTGGGGAATATGAAACAACAATATATGCAGAGTTTATAGATGAATTTGAAGACAATATTGTTCATTTTGCAGAAACAGCAATTATTCCACATACCACAGAAGCTAGCATTAAGGTACAGAAGTTATGTACATTATATCCTTTAATTAATGAAAAACATATTTAATAAGAAGCTTTCATTTTAGTTTACAAAAACAAGACGTAAAAAACCTGTTATGTGGATATATGGTATAAGGCTTTATTTAACAGAGCCAAGTAACGAACCCAAAAACTTCTCCACAGAAATCTTTAACCCTGAGACAATTCAAACTTTCCTAACTAAGCTTACTTTTAAGAATGAAGGGAACAATGTCACAAATGATGTTCATTCATGTTTTAAAAATCTTTTGAATTCATCAAGAACTAGAAGTACTCAAGAAAATAATGAAAAAGAAACAGAGCAGTCTACAAGTGAGAGTAATGTATCCAATAGTGTAGATATTGTAAGTTACATTGATAATAAATTTCAAGACATGGAGGCAAAACTAATGAAAAGAATTGATGAAATGGAGCAAAAAACAAATGAAAAACTGGATACTATTTTAAAACAATTACAAAGTTAATGTAGTGTCAAGTAACCTTCATCCTATATGTATAAAATGAAAACTTTGAAAATAATACTGTTTTCTAATTTTCATTGTTGTGCTTTTTGATTAGGTACTTACATAGTTTAGAAATTTTACATATAATAATGTAAAATTATATGTATTTCATATATCAGTTATATTTACTTTATATTTCTTAATTTAAATTGCAAATAAATTTTTGTAATGTATATAAATATTCATGCATAAGAATGTACCAAAATTTATATTACATTTTGTCTACTTCTATTGTTTCAATGAAATTTTATACAAATATAAAAAACATGGAATCATGATGCACATTATAAGATGACATTTGTGTAATCAAATAAAATTAATCATAAGTTTATTTCAATCAGTACTATTGCTATCTTGTGGAGGATCCCATTGATGAAGTTGTTTCCTCCACAATTTTACCATGCCATCCCATCCTCTTCTACTATATTTAATATATTTTGGAGGTGTTCTTGGATGCTCTCTTGTACGTTTCTCTCTAAAATAAATATATGCAATGTAACAATTTCCATTAAAATACATTTGACACCCTCATATACAAAATTCTTACTTAGGCACAGCCTGAATGTATCTGTCATATCCAACAGTATTTTTTCCATAATCTATTTCTTTTTGTCTACGTGCTAACACTCTAGGATCTATTTCATATTCTATATGTTTTTTACCACTATCTGAAGAATTAGTAGTAGAACTTGAGTCACTGTTGCGTCTAGTTCGAGAAATTTTTGCATCTTCGTGATTTGTATAAGTTTCTCTAGGTCTTTTGCGAAAATCATTTAAATTTTCTGGTTTATTCTTTATATTATCCTCATACTTTATGCTGTTTACATTATTTGTTTGATTTTCTATGGATTGAGACCTATTACTAACTTGTATATTTGAACTAACATCTTCCTCATATTTCTGATCATTGTTGACACTTGTTTCAGATTCACATGATTTAGTTTCTAAAGAAGTTCGAGTCTTTGTAAACTCTTTACTAACGTTTACTACTTTGTTCAATTCGTTCGATTTCATACAAATGGCTTCATTAAAAAGGGCATCATCTTCATCTGTCAACTGAATTCCTGAGGTATGCATGTCTAGCTCCATTTTATTTTAATCGTATAAAATAATATTTTAACACGATCTACGAGAAGAAACTAACATAAAGCGAAATCAATATTTAATCGAAGAGATAAAACGGTAAATAAACAACATCTTACCTAACAAGAATAACCTAAATGAATGTAATAACTTTTGTATTAGAATACAATAGAAGGACTTAATTACGCGTTTTTGTAATAAATATAGGAATCTGGAGAGATAATTACTTTTCTTTCTTTTAAAATCACGAAATATAGCAACTTTGAGTACGTGAAAAAATTGCACTTAATTTCAAACAAACGCGTAGAACAAGTCCATTTTTACGAGTGTACGAATCGTGTAGTGCGCGCCTTTTCTGACGGCCTAATATTCGTACACCCTGAAGAACTATGTATGTCGGTTAAACTTAACTTAGGTTAAAAGCTTAATATTTTTTTTCGTTGTTGATCTTTGTAGAACATATATATTACAAGTATAATAGCAACAAACGTCCAAAACTTCATTTCTCTTTTATGTGTAATATACCGACGATTCTAATAGTTTTTTTCACATAAAATCCATTCTCCGTTTCTTGAAATTACAAAATGTCCGCGGAAATCTAGCGCCTTTTGTTTGATGAGTTCACATCCCCTATCGGTCAGTTTCAAAATAACGAATGTTATTCTTTGTTTAAATCAAACATATAATTCTGTAATATTTTATGAATTTTCAAAAACTTCAGAAATTACAATAGATACATTGGTGATTGTAATTACTGCGACTGAAATATAAGTCGTTGATTAATGTGCAGCTCACTGCTTTTTTGTATGTTGTTCCACAGAATAAAATTTGTTTTCTAATAATTATGTTACTTAATCAACTTGTAAAGCACAATAACCTGATATTTCTATAATTATAAAAAACACGTCATACAAATGTCATGTGCTCTCTTTTTACAGTAGTGGCCTAATCTTTTTTTTATTTAAATAATCATTAATTTTTTTTCTTTTCTAAACAGCCATTACCTTTATCTTTTTCAGTATTTTTGTATACAAGTGTAGTTAAGAATTGTACGTATTAATTGTGACGGTGCAAAATGTCGACAAAGACAGTAAAGGTTATATTTTGTTTTGTCAAACAAATAATAAAATGTTATACACTGTAATCGTTATCATTTAATGCTATTGTTAATTACTTAAAATTATATTAAAATACCAATAAATAAGCTACATAAATTTTGTGTATAATGTAATATAAATATGTTAATATTATTTTCAGGAATCATTAGTAATGTTAATAAACATTGGAGTAACATGTCCTAATACACAAAATAATCCTTCATTATTGGAGAAAGCAAAACATATTGCTAAACGAAAAATTGAGAAAATGGTATTATAAAATGAGATTTGATACTGTTCAGATTTGTAATACATATATTGTTTTGTAGATTTTCTTTAGGCCAAAAGATGAAGTTGCAGTACTTTTGATGGGTTCTTCCATTACAAAAAATAGTTTGAATACAGAACATGTAGAAGAATTTGCTGATTTTCAAATTCCAAATTGGGCTTTAATAGAGCAACTTATGGCTTTACAAGGCACAAAACATTGTTCCAATTGGGTGGAAGCACTTTATGCTGGAGTGGAATTCATGAAAAAAAATGTGTACGTTTAAATGTATTATGATTGCCTTTATTGTAAATAGTAAACTTCTGCTATTAATTATATATATTACAATATTAAATGTGATGTATATTTAATTGTAGTGTTGATGTTTCCATGCGAAAAGTCATTTTAATGTCAGATTTTAAAGAAGAAGGAGATATTATTTCGCAATTTCAGGCAGATAAAATTGCAAAAAGGCTTACTACAGAGAAAATTGAATTAATAACAATGTATGATAAATTAATTCTGTGCATAAACCTGTTAATTTTATTATTTAAGTTATTAGAAGTAATTTGATTTTATAACACTACTATTTTAGAGCAGAGAAATCACTGGATGAAAGGCCTGCAAGTTCTCTTGAAATTAGTGAAAGTCTTCTTAAAGTTTTGCATAAAAAGGTTATACTCATTATTAATTATGAATTATCATTATATTTTTATTTATGATATATTTTACCATTATTAAATTTGTTTTTTCTTTTTCTAGATTGGTGGTGAACACATAACATTTGATAATGCTATATCAGAATTAAGATTCTACATGAAGGCACCTACAAAACCATCTCCATTCTATTTCACTTTAGAATTAGTTGATAAAGAAATACCAATTGTTAGTTATATTAAAGTAAGAAGGAATTTTGAAGTAATCTATATGTGCTATATGGTATACACTTGTTTTAATTAAACATTGCAATTTCTGTTAGATAGATGAATCAAAATTTCCATCATGGCAAATGGCTAAAGGTAATCAAAAAGTTGTAACAAAAACACAATATTTCGATAGACAGAGAAATTTATATGAGGAGGATAAGATTGTAGCAGGATATAAATATGGAGAGACTTTTATTCCAGTTGAAAGTATGTTATAATTGTTTCTGTTATCACAAATGTTAAATGTTTCTATATGTAATCAAATTATAAATGTTTTTACAAATATAGAGGAATTGAAGGAGAGTATGAGCTACAAAAGTGGCGAGAAATGTTATAGAATTCATAGTTTTACCCATAGGAATAACATTCATTTGGAATATATGTATGGAAGTGCACATATTATTTTACCTTCAAACAGAGAAAAAGTATGTCATCATTTTATATATGCTCAACAATTTTAAACTAACGTATTTATTTTCATTTTTTTAGAATGTAGCACAATCATTTTATAGTTTGGTACAAGCACTGCACGAGACAAATTCAGTTGCTGTGGCAAGAAAAGTTTATAGAAATAATTGTGCGCCTAGAATGGTGGCATTGTTTCCTTGTATAGATATTCCTGATGAGCCATGGGTATTGTAAAATATATTCTGAAATTTTTATTTTTTAAATTTATACTATTATATAAAATACATTATGTATATTTACATGTAGTGCTTGGTAGAAATAGCTTTAGCATTTGCAGAAGACCGCCGAATAATGGAAGCGAGTCCCATTAAATCCGCAATTAAAAAATTGACAAGTGAACAAAATGAAGCTGTAGACAATTTAATAGATTCGCTGCTGGTTTCTGATACAGAGTAAGTATATTTGTATTCTATTGCATTGATATTCTTTTGTTGTATTTATGTATATTTTTTACACCTTTGTATATTTTTAAACAGAGATAGTTATGAAATAGATGATGGAAGTCAGTATTTTTTACCAGGATGTGTGCCAGATCCTGCAGTACAACACAAATGGCACATGTTATCCTATCGTGCCATTAATCCAGATAAACCATTACCACCTATGGAGGATTATTTGAAAGAAATTTTTGAAGTTCCATCGATAAAAGATAGAAGTAAATGCCACTTGCAGAAAATTGCACAGCTGTTTCAGTTAGAAAGTATAGATCCGAAGGCGGAACAAAAGTAAGGACTTTTTATATACTGCAGTATACATATAATAAATATCTTTACCAAACAAAGATGCAATTTATTTTGTTCAGAGATGAAATAAAAAAGAAAGGAGTTAATATGCAAGTTGATGATAACATTGAGATAAAAAATCCTCTTAATATAGAGAATAAAGGTGATATCGAAAATGAATCGTCTCAGGAGTTTTTATCCCTGGATACTTCAGACATTGATCTGGAGGAACTGGTATAACAAGAAAAGTTCCCGTTTCAACGACGTTTTATAAGATATATTTTATATAATAATCGTTTACTTTGTATGCGTACAAAGAATGAACAAATAAAGCGTAATAAGGCAACGAATTTCTTGCGTGTCCTAATTAGAAGAGAACCGATCCTCGATGCGAAGCGAATCACGAATTGATGACACTATCAAGTCTGAATATGGGAAGTGCGAGGCCGTTTGCCCACTTGACGCCCACTCTATTTCTTTTTAAATTCTCCGAAATTCCCCATCACATCCGAGTGCGAACCACGAGACTAAAAGAATATTTCTAAAGATTTTGTATATTAAAAAATACACCCATATATACTGACAAAATGAATACCAATAACGGGACGATCCTAATAGCAATTATTTTATTCCGTTAACCATTATAATTGCAACTTGAACTATTTTACAACAAGAGAGAAACTAGATTCCGTTCCATTCAAAATATCTCGTTCCTCTTGTTCTTACTGTGAGACGTTCAGTTATACAGTCGCGTGGATACTGTTAGTCCAACGCTTTTGACACATCCTGTATAACGTAACGGCATTCACTTTCTGGGCCTGCGGGGAGCGCGAATCCGCTGCAACCTCAGTCAACGAAGAGACGCCGTCTCGCGTGGATCAACAGGTGTTACAGCCCGTGCAAAACGCGTTCACCAGCATGGGTAAGTTCAACTTCGCTCACACGAACTCATTCGATATAGACGAACTTAAGCCTGCTTGTCGCGTTCAACGCTGAACGTGTCGTTTCGACTACGAAAGCGACAAATCAAACGTGAAACCCACGCAATAATACCTTGCGTCTTCGTTTAGGTATGCGGGATGAGACACGCGAGTACGTTAGGCGTTGCGCTTACGCTATCCTGCTGACATAACAATAGTATTGGACGCTTTCGATGATTTGTAATTAATATAATTAACCGTTAAAAGATTCGTTGGTAAATGTAGAATTTCTATATTAAACTACGAACATGTCGCATGGTTTCTTGATTATACAAAGGACAGCTTTGCATTAGCGATAACGATCAGAGTTTGAGCCATGAGTGTTTATGATTGTACGGTTAGGTTTAAAATAATGAAAGAACCACCTACTCGCGTGATCAATCACTATAGTATCTGATACTTAAAAGGATTTGATATGTCATACAAATTCCACATTCAGTGAAAATTAGTTGGTGTACCAATGTTAATTTAATTCGTTGATGAAACTGTGTTTATTATTTTTTATTTGATACATTTGATATTTTAAGAAATGTGACAGATGCGTTTGCAATTATAATGTTTTAAATTATGGCAAGACTGACATTTTACTTTCTTCGAGAATTTCAGCGATATTTAGAGAACCGATTAATCGAAGTAAATCGATTAAAAGTCAGAAAGAATACTATTCCGTGCGATGAAAGAACAGTTTTGCAATAGGATTATGTTCGCCACGGTGAATGAACCATCGGTACCTTAAATGTCACAGACAAATGTCGAGGAGGAAATGCCACGTTAAAATGCATCTTCTTGCATGCATCGAAGCACGCCTTTTTCGATTGTTTCGCTTCCATTGAAAACAAGGGTAAATCGCATCGTAATCGTTCGCTTTAAATTTTTAACAAAACGACGAATCAGAGATCGTTTTCGCAACGCTCCTGCCTTTACACCTCGTTAAACATTGACCTAGAAAAGAACATCTTGATTTGTGAACGCGTATTTGTATTTCAAAGTGAACGGTTTGTCCCTCGTTTAATTCTAATTCTTACAAACAAAGAAATTTATAATCGTAGACGAATAAATGATCGATCATCGAGAGATTGTCGATAATTAGAAATTGCTCTGAAGAATTTCGAGAATGAAGAACGCGATAATAATCGCTTGTTGAACACTAAAATTTTACGCAAAGGTTAGTGAAATCTGATGTTCACCAAACGATTCGAGAAATGTCACAGAAACAAGTCAATTATTCGGATTAAAGAAATATAGTTAAAAGGTGAATACAAAAATAAAATATTTTTATTCGAACTTTTCAATGTAAAACGGTAAAATTCATTTGCACTAACTTAATACTTCTGGTCGCAGCAAGTGGCGTATCGTGTCAACGAAATGTCAGAAGGGTATCGGTTCAACGAGATCAGTATCCTGAAACAGGAGCAGCTCGATCGAACGCACCACGCGGAACCACACCGATCTCGTCGTCCTTGCAGAAGACGCGCTTGAGCGCTGCCTCGGATCGATAGTAGATCCGTTGGATAAAAATAATGTCTGGATGACTGTTACCACCCACTCGTATTTTTAGATAAACTTAAAGATCAGTTCAAGGGAATTGTAACAATTTTTCCTTGACTCATATATTACCTATGCTCGTTAGAAATATCGATTTTCCATTTTATTTTCTGCTTTGAAATATTTCTCTCTCCCATTTCTTCTTTTCTGGAAACATTTGAAAAGTGGGTAGATGGAATCTTGCTTATTATATCTCCTTTTAAAGTGTTTTTCCTCTTCTTTTTTTTAAATACTTGAAAAGTGAGTGGGTGATTCCTGTTTCACTTTTAGACTGGTGTTCATCGAATTGTTATTCAGTTTGTTCCTTTGTTCCTTATTGGTTCTCAGGTGTTTATTTCGCTGACTGATTGTCCCTTCCTTTTTCTCTACGTTTCCGTTAAACGTGAACGTGATCTGTTTCCTTTCTATTTTTGCAATAAAAATCTTTATTACCGTATTCGTTGATACATCTTTCATCTTACGATATTTTTCTCTTTTAAACGATTGTACGAAAAGAGAGCCTTATTTATATTGTGAATAAATTTTGTAGAAATAATTCGGAAAGGAGGAAGAAGTAGAAGGTTCACATTTTCGAGAGATGATACACAGAAGCTTGTTGTTTTTTGTTGCTACTGTACGCATCGTTAGCGTCAATGGGATTCAACGACGACACCGTAAGAAGAACTGATTGAAAAAGGGAACTGTGTATTGCGTGTAAACGCACGGCATTGACTCCCTTTCGTAGCGGCCCAGTTTTCGCAGTTTACGTTTACTTAATAATAGGGCATGTCCACGAGCTATCTTGCGTAATCGGCTACGTTCAGAATGAAACTTTTTGCCCCGCCCCACAGATCTGGTTCTTCTCCTGCGTAACCAATCTGCTAGGTTTTCTTCTTTTTTCCAGGAACTGCATACATGTTAATTACTTCATTTTTTTCTTCTTTTGTAAAAGTATAACGCTGTCTTATTTTTTTAGGAGTCGAGTATTCCTTTAGGAGCCAAATATTTCTTCAGCTTCTTTTTCTTCATTCTCTCCTTTTCTTATTTTTCATTTTCTTCTTTTTGTAGGAATCAAATATTCCATCGAGAGCCAAATATTTCTTTATCTACTCCTGTTTTTTCTATTTTTTTCTTTTTTCAGGAGTCGAATATTACCTTGAGGAGCCAAATATTTCTTCGGTTTCTTTTTCTTCATTTTCTCCTTTCTTCTATTTTTTTATTTTCTTCTTTTTTTAAAAGTTGAGTATTCCTTCAAGAGTCAAATACGTCTTCAGTTTCTTCTTTTCTTTTCAGGGACTTAATACCTGTTAATTTCTTCATTTTCTTCTTTTCTCCAGAAGTCTAATACTTCTTCATTTCGAGCACTAGTATATTTCTTCTCTCTCTTCAGGAGACTTACATTCTTTCATTTATCCATTTGATCTTTGCTTCAAAAACAACTGACGTTTCTTCATTTCTTCGTTTTTTTCTTTTGCAGGAACCGCATATGCCTGCATCGTGGTGGCCATGCTCGCCGTAAGTTTCTAAGCGCGATCACGCTTTCTTATGCTTCCTACTTTTCACACTCCCGGAAGTGATCGCGGACGCGTGCATTATAATTTGTTCCTGCCGAGTGAAATCGTGCGTCGCGTGAACCGAGGATTGTTCTCTTCCATCTCGATCTCTCTAAATTCACCGATTTTTTTCAGATTCTGTCCTTGTGTACCTTCTCTTTCGTTTTTTCTTGTCGTTTTTTTTCATTCCTTTTTTTTTTTTTGCAAGATGGAAACTCGGGACGAAATCGCACGCAAACTGCTGCGCACTTTGCGTTCTTGCGTAAAACACGGCGAACCCGCGGTCGAAGAGTATCGATCCTTTCACGAATGGAAAGTAAACTTAATGACGTATGAATCACGTCGAATGAGGACGATTGACACGAAAAATTATACCGTGTCTGAAAATGTGAAACGTTTCTTTCAACTTTGCGTGGAGCCTGGTTACGAATATTCCGTGAAGTTTTCATTCAATTCGACGAATGAGAAAATTCACTCGATCGATATTCTTCGATCATGATCTATAGCGTTATACGTTATTACAATACAACTGAAACAGTTGATGACTGGGAATTTTGTCTCGAATGTTGACTATATCGTTTATTTCACTGTTAAAATATCCTCACTTAAAAAAAAAACAGAAAGAAAAATCGATAAAAATGTTTGAATATGAATGACTCAAGTAATTGAACGGATAAGAAAAAGAAAAAGAAGATTCCTTAGAATCTTATTCTCGGAAAATCGAAAAAACTGATTTTAAACAAAAAAAACTTTTCATTGTGAAGTTGCTATACTTATTGGTCACTGCTGGTCACAACTTGTCAGCATTGATCACTAATGGTAATTACTGGTCAGTAAAAGTGATCAAAACTGTAGCGACAATTGTCCAGCGGCAATTTTCAAACAGTTTCAGTAAATAAGCAGATTTATAAATTTTCTTATTTTCTCAAAAATAAAAGATTCGGTAGAATTTTTTTTCTCTCTTTTTTTTTCTAATTCGTTCAATTTCTTTGATAAGGCACTTCTTCTGACGGCGGAAGCTGGCGACATGATGCGGAAGAGTATCGTGTTCGACAAAAACACCCCGGACGTGTTCTACTGTCCGCAACAGAAGCCAACAGGTTTCGAGAAGATGATCGTGAACGCGAAACCGTTGTCGAGGCTCTGCCAATTCGAGGGGAAACCGATACCGCCCGATTACAAGAGCGATTGCTACAACGACGTGGACGAGACAGAGTACGCGTGCAAAGAGAAGTACAGAATCATGGTGAGTCATCGGCGAGGTCACGGGCCTCGAAATTTCTCACCGAAAGCGGCTATGGAAAAGCCACATGGGAACACGCGTACACACGCACGGAACAAGGTGTACTCAGGTGCAACCGGCTGGAACAGATCAGCGATTAAGAGAGAGAGAGAGTGAGAGAGAGATACGCAATTTTCTGATTGAATTGTTTAAAGAGAGCTTATGTGCTTCAGCTGCATTTTCACGTGCGTTCTTACGTTAACGCGATTAAACTTTCATGTAACTGAGGCTCGATTGAGAGTTGCTTGATAAGAATTTAAGTAGTTACGCGTTGATAACTTTGTTAACACCATGTTACATGTATTTTCTACGATATATTAAAAAGAAGCTATTTATAAAAGAAGTTATAATTAACAGTATGAATTATTATTTCTTTTATAAATAGTTTCTTTTCCAAAATTTCATATTAATAATATGGATTATGAATGTTGTAAGTTTGGTCTGTGGGATAGATTAATACATGGTTAAAATGTATCTTACATGAAATGTTAAACAGAACTCATCTCTAAAAGATATTACTATAATGCAACAAATTCATGACATCATGACAGATAAAATTGACAATACATTCTGACATACTTCTTAAAACAATACAATACTAATGTTCCTGTTAGTTGGACCAACCGTAACTACTTATGTCTCTATAATAATTCAATAAATCCTTATCAATGAAAAGTGATCAATGAAAAACAAAAAAAAAAAATAAGGAGAACTCAATTGACTCTCAAAGAGACCACATGAAAAACCCAGCTATGTTTTTACCCAGTGATGCACGCATCATCCGACCATCATCAACGTAACATCATGTTCATCACGTGTAACGCGACTGGTGTCGGTTTTGTTTTCTTACAGAAGCGAATCAGAAACAAAGCAGAGGGGGATGAGAACGTCGCGGATGACTTCGCCGAGAAATAGATGAGAAAATTGGTGCTGCACGACCGAGCAACGCGTGCAATTTTGCAAATGATCATGCCGGGTCCTCCACTAATGCTCAAGCTTGCAACCTTCGGTCCTATAATTACAAAGCATTTCTTTCCCCCTCTTCCTCCTTAAAATTCAAACGATCAATCGAACAATTTATAAATACGTCCAGTTAACCGAGAGTAGATAGAACATTTTTAGAAAAGAAGACTTGCTAGTTAAGTTATTTCACGTTAACATTTAAGACGTTACTACAGCGTGTGGCAGTATTAGAATGTTGAAAGAGAATTTTTTAAATCTTTTTCTTTTTTTTTCCATTGTGTCAAAGTTTTACATTTCTACGGATTCTTTATTCTCATTTTTGTTCTCCTTGATAAATTTATACACTGTACCGGTGCTCTGTAGTTTCCGAGCTTGGTGGCCGGAATTTGTATTTTCTTTTTTTTTTTCATTTAGTAATAACATTAATAAAACTAACAAACAATGGGAGTTGGGCGAGTTGATCATTAATACCCCAGATATAGCTTCGACGCCTGTTACTCTGATAACCGTTTGCACACTAACCGTTTGCATCACATGGTTTCGTTCGACGATTCATTCGTAACACGTGTTGGATGCCAGACGAATGTTTTCTAACGAGAGAATAAATATGTAGAAGCTGCAAGAAATGTCCAGGATTTGTGGCAATTGTTCAATTAATTTTTATATTATTTTATAATAACCCCAAAAAAAAAAGAACGATCGCAAAATTACATTGATTTGTATTCATGAACGAAATATAACTTGTGAATTAACAGAAAACATTTAGCAAATTACTGATTCATTCTTTGAACTTCGTTGATAATTAAGTGAAACTTGAAGATTGCATCAAACGTGTGCATATTGCGGTAGGTAGTATTTCATTCATAAAGTATGATTATATTTAAAAAAAAAATCACTGTATTATTAATTAAAAAAAATTGTTATCGTTCTTCTTTGTTAGTTTAATGGGTGCACTTCTGTTTTAGATGCGACTACATCCGCCAGGAAGTGAAACACCGTACAACGGTTCACGCTTATCGAGATTCCTAGCTTTTGGCAAAGATATCAACAAGAAGAGAAATCAGATCGAAGATAGCGACTGATGAGAAGAATCTTCCGTGTATAGATCTTTTTTTTAGAACAATTATTGGCGAATATTTTAATTTTAATTTTATCAGTTTCACTATTATTTTTCTTTTTCTATTTTAAATTCTTTTTAACATTTTAAAAGTCAAACGATTCTACTTTAGCGCTAAATTTCACAAGTCGAATATCGTTTATTGTAAATAATTCAAGTTCCTGTTAACTGTCTAATGCTCTAAAAGTTATGTAAGATTTGCAATGTTTGTATTATTATTTCATAATGCATATTGAAAAGGAAAGCATGCTCGTTATTAATTAAAATATTTAACGTTCCTATTCACTGTAAAGTGTACAAAGCTTTTCTAGCGTATATTTGTTGTAATATATTTGTAATTAAGCGTAGCCGCTTGTAAAGAGAGAAAATAATGTATAAGAATAAATAAGTTCTATGGTTTTGTAAATTATTGTCTGTAAAATAAAAAAAAGTAAGTAGGTTATTATGTTAAATTATTTTATACTATTGGACCTGATTAAACATATTTTTTCAACAATTTCGTAAAGTGTCCTGGAATAAAATATAAGATATATAATTTCATTAAACAATACATTAAACAAATTATTTTTGACGTTTATTACCATTTGTTTTTTCGATTTTTTCCTGTTAAATTAATTATTCTGCTGTAAATATAGTTAATTTAAAAAAAAATTTCTCTCGGTAATTTAATAAAATGAAATTTTTGAATATTCAGTGTAATTACCTATGAAATCTTTGATTTTGTTTGTTTTACATATTCGATTTTATTGACTTTCAATGAGTCATATTACAAAAATTTCAGATATTAAAATTTACAGAATATCTGATGATTGTTCAACATTGAAGTTTCTCATTCTTCAGATTATAAGTGATATCTTTATAAATTATTCTATTTTTGTAAATTATTTACACATTATACTATTGACCTACAAAATGCGTGCTGCTCAATAATAATACATATCTACGACTTCATTCGAAGCTGGACAATATACAAAATACCTTTTTGTAATTCGTTCTGCAAATAATACAAAGTAAATATCCTTTCGTTATAATCCTTATGTTCTTTACTGCTAGGGTAAAATAAAAATTCGGGCCCTAATAATAATTTGCAAATAAAACGTAATGAAATATGTTATATCTTTATAAACTATGCAATTTATGTAAAACTTGTATTTTATAAAAGGGTTCTTTTAATTTACGTGTTCATAAATTTGCTTTTAAATTCAACAAAAATTAATACCTGATTAAAATATTTGGGACATTCGCATAATTAATACACATACTAATGATTAACAAGATATAACAAAAATATATAAAAGTCGATATAGACATCACAGGTCCCAAGTATCACTCTAATCACTTGATAATGCTGCAATTATTAAGACGTGTAATATGAAATGTCAGATTTCCGATCATTTGCAGAATGATCACTCAAGTAATTATTTGAGCGTTGAAGAGTTTTTTCCTGTTAACTGAAAGTTCGTACAATTCTTGGTAAGTTACTGTTCGAGAATCTACGGGTAATGTTTGTTTGACTTTAAAAAATAATTTTCATTTCTTGCTAAAAAATCCGACATTTCATATTACACAACCTAATAGATTAGAAACGTTTGCAATACATCGAATGTACCCAAATGTAACATATTAGAAATATAGCACATACCATGATTTTCTTTTTCCAAATACGTAAGATATATAGGTCTATTTACATACGCAATATCACCAGTAAGCATAAGGTGACACAATTGAGGGATTTAAAATTTTTTTTCAAAATGCTCCAAGAAAAATTATACAGCCTTTTACTGTACACCTTAGGAACATCAACTTCAAAGGTATACCGTATGCGAACCAAAAATTGAAGTGTATTAGCACAATACACTTTATCCACCTTTCAAGACAATTCTTCGTTCAGACAAAATAACATTTTATAAGATCAGCTTTCCACCGTTCGAAGCTCGTATCTGTGCCACCTGTTCAGGAGTGAGGATCAGTTTGCTTCCATTGGGTAATGATAAGGCATAATGGCTTCCAGTTTCGTTCACGACCACCACTAGCTGTGTACTAGTATTTTGTATCGGTGGTGGAGGTTTAACTGGCGTTATCGATATGCCTCCTTGATTCATGCGTTGAAGTATCTGCGGAGGGATGGCACCTTTTGTTGAAGTTATCGCGACATCCGAAGTAACTGCCGGTTTCTGCTTAACCTGCACGTTGTTTCTTTTAGGTGTAGTCTTCGCTTTTTCCGATTCAGTCTCGGGACCAGTCTTCTCGGTAATGATCATCTCAATTTCGTCGTCACTGTCGCTGAGAACGATCAAAGAAGTAGTCTTCTGGTTGATGTTTTCTGCAGGTGTGTTCAGCTTTCTCGGCTTCGGCATCCTAACAGGGGTATTGCGTTGCTGTTGAAGGTTTTTCGTGATTCTAGCGTTATTAGCCCTTGGAGTGTTTCCCCTTATGGGCATACTACTTCTTATGACTGCCCCATTAGGATGTGGATAGTTCTGTCTCGGCACAGGATACCTGTTTTGCGGTGGTCTGGGCAATGCAGCGGGATTAGTGTAAATTGGTAGCGAAGGATTTTGAGAAATCATTTGTTGTTCTGTAGCTACGTATCCAGGTTGGGGTTGAGCCGCTACCATGCAGGGTAAGTAACCAGAATGATTGACAAATTGTTGTGGCGCCATCATTTGTGGTCCTTGAGGTTGAAAATGCTGAGGTGGTAGGAAGCCGGCTTGTGGACTTTGGATAATGTAATTTTGCCCCCCTTGTACGTAATAACCGTGTGGAATCGGTGGTACGATATTCGAGACTACTGGACTAGGTTGCACGAGAGCGTTTTGTGGAATAACAGGATTCGGTTGCATCAGGTAGTAATTCGTTGGATCAGTTTTGAGCATTAAGTAATTAGAATTAGGGTTTGTGATGTAGCTATTATCAATTTGACTCGTATAATCGTAGATCGGCCCCTCGTCTTTGATGTCCAGCTCTGAATGCACGCTCGTGACATTTTCTACTTTGCAGCTTGTTTCCGTGGAAGGCACTCTTTCTTTAAGATCATTCTCTACCACAGTCTCATTGTTTTCTATGGTACTGCTGCTATTAGTAGCCTCTGGACTGGCTGGCTCGTTTGACTTAGATATTAGGGTTTCTGCGACATTTAGTTTCTTATTTTCACTGCATATATTTGAGGGAGAGATCAATCTTGAATCTGCCGCGTCCTGGAGGGCACCAAGTTTGATATTTTGTAGTTTATGTTGGAAAGCCTTTAATCTCCGATTGGCAGCTGCGAATAAACGACAAGTTATATTAGAATATTATTTTTTAACCTTATATTCTAACCTTATCTTTTAATTACAGTTACCGTGGACGAGCATACACTCACATGGACGTTTATTTTTCCTTTTGCGAGAGCTCGGTAAAATCCAATCTTGGTCTGAGTCCTCCTCGTTTGTACGGTCGTCAGCGTGTCTGATTTTCGGAGTAAGGTGAGCAGCGGATGTATCGACCTGTGCGCTGGGAGCCGCGTACACGGCCTCAACGTCGGCCCATTCCTCCAGCTCGTTCTCCTCGATCTCGTCGTCTGAATAGAACTGTTCTGTGTATGAAGAGATTCCACGGGCTCGTAATACCCTTCGGGTATGCTGTTCTGTTTTCAAAATCAAAAGAAACTGACTCTTACTGATATCGACAAAATTGTTACTGCTATTCCACTGGCTCGTTATGTCTACCTTCTTCGCTTGAATCTTCTTTCGTCTCTTTTTCCGCTCTTTGAGTGTTGTCTTGACTGTTACCTTCGTCTCGTTCGGGTTGCCCTCCTTGCGCTTCGCTTTCCGCGTTCTCATCCTGAGATTCCTTGCACTCTTGATCGACGGTTTTATCGTGTTCTGCGTGGTTATTCTGCTCTTCTTCATGTTTGTTCGAGACGGTTTGGGAGCCAGTTGGGGATACGGTAGGTTGCGATAACGTTTGTAACGTTGTGTCTCCGGAAGTTGGCAGTGGACAGCCCTGCGATCCAAGAACCCACCAATTAGAGCCAAGACCCTCCCCGGATGAGTCCTGATCCTCCGCACTGCTACAACACACAGCAGCTTGTCTGCCATATACGCTCGACAAAGAAAGCAATGTTACTGGAAGAATGTGGATGAGTTCCACTCGACAGTTTGTAGCAATTTCAAGAGGTTTCAGGTAAGATGAATGTTTAATTTGGGAACAGCAAGAATTAATTTTTCAAAAACATGTGATACATTTTTATTTAAATCATTATTGTTCCCAGATTATTATTGATGAGATGGGATGAATGCCAGAATTTTATAGTATGGATGATGTTACTATTCGATGTGAATGAAAATGTATATACCCTGCTTTAAAATTTGTCCATTCCTTTTGGAGTTTTCCCCTTGCTTTCTTCATTGAATCTCGCAAAGCAGGCTCCATTCCCTCTAAAGAGGATAGCAACTCTGTCATTCTTTGGATCAATTTTACTTCGCAGGGAGGCATAGGTTCAATCTAGAAAAAATATAAAAATTTTGAAGCAAAAAGCTGTGTAAAAAAAATTGTCTTGAACGATATAAAAAAGGGGACTGCGTACTTCACCGTCACTGTCAGCATGTGAACCGTTACGTTTTTGTGAAAAAGTAGAGATGAGGTTCTTAAGTGAAAAACTAGCGATGAGCTCTTTAAATGAACTAATACTGTCAGCCACAAGTTGAAATTTCGAAGCACTAAGTTCCAGAAGCATTTCATTAAAATTCTCCTTTTCTTGTTTCCACCCTTCCGTTTTTTTATACTTCGATTTCCTAAGATCATATTTAACCTCGGTCTCTTCATCTAAAGAAAAATCATCGTCCATCGCTTCTTTCTGTAGCATGCTTCTCAATTCACTCAAAGAAAGATCCGTGTCATCGAAAGAGTCTACTTCATTTGTACTTTTGCTCGTATCATCCAACTTTAACGGTGTTTTGTCCGGCTTCTGTTCTTTGCCAAGTCCTCCATTCTGTCTGACAATACTCTCTTTCCCATTTCTCCCAGAAGAACTAGCACTATCTTCCTGTCTATGAGACGTTCTCGTTTCGTTCAACTTTTCGTCGTCAGATTTTGAAGTGATCGATATCTGGTGCGTTTCTATAACAGTATGAACGTTATCTTTATCATTTAACTTCGAACTTTCAGCGCTGATAATTTCATTCAGCTTTTCATCATCTGTCTTTGAAATACTGGACAAATTATCGATGGTTCTATCGGCAGAATCCCCTCTGGCAATATGCAAGTCCATCGTATCTAAATATTGTTGTCTAATTGGGTTTAATTCTAACGTAATCTGAGAGGTATCTTCCGTACTATTATTCTCTTCGCTAGTTCCTGCTTTTAAATTACACAAAATTCCGTTGATTATTTTTATATTACACTTATTGTTACTGCTATTGTCTGAGAATCCCTTGAACATTTTCTGAGACGACCTATTTTTCGAAATGGTGCCCATAGAACTGTTCGTATCGTAGCCACTCGATTTTACACTTTTACAACGCGTTTTATCGGATTCCGTGCTCATTTCTGAACATTTTGACGGACTTCTGGATTTCTTGATATCGACAGTGTCTAAATTAACGTTATTGTTATTACTACTACTATTATTATTATTATTATTATTACTACAGGTGCTTGTACTGCTCAGATTGGTGTCCTCATTTATCAACGAGCCTGTTGCACTGTCGCTGCTACACTTGCAGTCGTTCACATGTTTCTCGTCAGATTTGTTCACTTTTTTCTTGCTTGACTTTGGTGTCAAGCCAGTGCTCCAACGCGATTTTTTTCTTCTGTACTTGGCCCTTTTTTTTATCAAGCTTGCATGTAACGTCTTCTTTCCTGGGTCTGCCTTCAGCTTTGGTTTGATTGGCTAAAGTAGAAGTAATATTAAGTAGAATGTAATCTTAACGAGGATGTTGAACGAATTATTGACTCAGTGATGGGATACCTTCACCGTTGATAGAATGTTGTTATCTAGAGAATGCCTGTAGATCCTCAAGTCGCTTTTCAGAAATTGTGGAAAGTAAACGTATCTTGCTCCATAACGATCAGTGCCCAGAATTGTTTCGATCTGGTCTTCCCACGGTTGCTTGCCCACTGCCTCTTGCACAGTTTTTCTGGTGTGCTGAAAATTGTTTTTTGTAGTAAGGTTGTGAAAAAATGATAAACCAATCTTATTTCACTCGATTATTATACATTTTTCTTAATCTTTCCGTACCATCACTGTATCACAGATTGTTTTTAATAGCCAGACCTTCTGTTTGAATGTCAATTCCTCGAAATCCTTGCCATTCAGCAGAGGAGCATCGGGGAAAACACTCCAGAACTCCGGTTCCACGCCGATGATTTCTAGAACCTAAAAATCTTTGATCACATTTCTGATCACTGCGATGCATTGATGCGATCTGTACAATAAAATTATTTTATTTGATGAAAATCATAGTTGCCCGACTGATTCGATAGGTTGTAGCAAAATTTTCAACCGAACACCATCAATCAAGCACGGTAATAATGGTATGCGTACTTTTACTGCGTCCCGGTGTTTAGCCTCGAATATTTTGAACCAACTTTTCATCTTGTACGCGAGAATATTCGTCCAGAACTCGTATGGCATCGGTGGTATTTTCCTCAACTTTGCTTTGGTCATGGGGGAGCTGAAATTCAAATTCTTATTAGTTCTTAGAATTTATAAAAATATTATTCGTTATTTCGTTCAAATATTTATAAACACTCATAATGTTATTCATACTATATTTACATTATACTACTTAATAAACAATGTTTTACCATTTAAATTAACGTGTATATTCTTTAACTCCATTCTGTGAATAATACTGTAATTACAAATGATTGTACCTCAACAAAGATGTCATAATATTTGCCAATTGCTTGGAAGCTCTTGGTATCAAAAGCATTCGTTCCATTTCGTACATCGATAAGTGAGGTATATTCAGAGCATTTTTAGCCAAATGAAGAAAATGAAATATCTGTGGTATCTGAAACATGAAAAATAAAATAATACAGAAACTTCGCGATTATCATTAACAAAACAAAAATACATACCTCCCACATGCTCTCCATTTCATTTCTTATTTCTTCTGAAAAAAAATTCTCCTGCTCCCAATCGACCATAGTCTGCTCCTCTCCCTCCAACTTCCGTTTTCTGTTCTTCTTCGACATTTTCTCTGAAACTTCAACTTCAACGAAACATTTTCACATACATTTTCATCTACAATTTTAAAAATATTTTTAAATAACTAATAAAATAAATACAAACATAATAATATTCTAAATAAAATTACTCTAAAAAAAGTGTCTATGCAAATAAAAGGAAGGGAAGAAAAGTTGACAATCAAAGTGTTCACCGGTAATTGCATACTTTGTTTTTTTTCTTTCTTTCTTTTTTTTAAGAAATTCACCAACGTAATTACTCAAAGCCACGGTCGCGTATTTAATGAGACGTTACGAGAACCGATCGGCGTAATTCGTGGGAAATAATCGCTAGTGTATCATTAATTAGATAGAATCGTTCGACGGTGTGAAAAATTGCCCCCGTTTGCAATCAGTGTCATCTCTTACAACATTATTAACGTAAAGCAAACAATGATGACCTACTATCGAGCACGGAGTGTCGATGCAATTTTCAAGTGTACCACCACCCGTTCAATTGCATCCTTATAGATTAGGCCAGTTTAATACGTTCACCATTAAAGTTTCATGCCGCTCGTTTTCATAGTTGAATGTCGAAGGTAATGTTTGCACGATAAGACGAATAAATTGTTGCTTAACCATGAGCGTCGCTCTTTTTCCTTGCCTTTTCTTTTTTTTTTTTTTTTTTTTTTTCGCAAACATTTACACGTAACAATCGACGGCACAACGGGACTTCTTCCCACACGTTGGATAATTGCTGTACACATTTACCAACTACGTGACGTTACCGACTGATTACTATAATGTACGATTATTTGTAATCACATACGAACGTCCGTGGGGAATTTTTTCTCCGAGACAGAAAAAGTGTCTCGAAATTAACCTTCGTCCTAGTGATTTTTGAGAGATTTTGTTTCTTACGGCACTTTTCACAGGTGTAAAATATTCACGCGAAAAAGATGGAGAATTTTTGTCAAGTACAATGTAAATATATATTTTCTATGGAAAAGAGTGAGAACATTTAGACAGAAAATTCGATAAAAAATTGATACTTCATTTTTAATTGATATTTTAAAAAGATTCGATTAATAACTTTAGTTTATTATTTTGTAACTTCTTTTTTTATTCGCGATAAACTTATTTCTTCATTATTTCCATCAATCTAAATTTTTACTAATACTTTTACTAATCTGTGACATTTTTATTAAATATTAAGGTCTCGAACTTAATCATCAACCTAATAATTCAATTTTAGCTCGCAAAGAGATCGAACCAAATGTTTATAATGTTTCCTAAGAAAATTTCTGCGATTTAACTAAATATTTCTCGCGAATGTACTTGAAGGAAGCAAAGTGAGTAGAAAATTTCTCGAGAGATTCCACGATTTTCGTTAAATATTAACAAAGAGTAAAGTGTTCGTTTCGAGAGACGCACGCAATTTCTTAGACCTGAAAAGCCACGTAAACGAAAACGATCGCGTGTATCGTTTTGTTTATCATCGACAAGCGTTTTTTTTTTCTCTTCCTTTTTCTACAATTGTGCCGGTCACGAAATACGTGTAAAATAATTATAGTTTTTTTCGCACGGTAGTTGGTAGATCTAATTGTTAGGTACGCGAAGGGATCACTGACGCGCCTGTAACTTCCTTTTCCTATCTCGGTGAAAAATCGTACGAGATGATCTTTGCAGCTCGATGTGTATGCAGAATTGATAACTTAACGTGTACTATTCGACGACGACCTTCTGCCTTTCTTTAATTACCGTGCAAACAAGCCTTTCCATTTTCGAGAAATATTTCGAACAGTGGAGTTAGACTGGGGGATTTCAATTTATGCGACGAAATGAGAGACGGTTAATTGAGAAATTTTTCGAATTCGATGAAAATCAAGGAAATCTGTAATTGAACGTGAAATGTAATCGGATAATTACGAAGATGAAGATTTTTTTGAAAATTTATTGCGGATGTCGACGTTTATTTCGGAATATTTTAAATCGATTTTCTGGAAAAATTCCGAATGATAAAATTTTTATGAAAATTAATTCTATACGAAGAAAATTGAAATGAAAATTAATTCTATACGAAAAAAATTGAAATGAAAATTAATTCTATACGAAAAAAATTGAAATGAAAATTAATTCTATACGAAAAAAATTGAAATGAAAATTAATTCTATACGAAAAA